AACGACCAGATCGCCGCGAGTGTCTTCGCGTGGAAGGCCCGCCTGCATGCGCAGTGCCCTCTGCAGACGTGGTCTGTGGAGAAGACTCGCTTGGACTCTCAAGACCAGAGGCAGACCGACGAGTGTCCGTTCCTGTTCGCTGAGGCCGTGGGCTAAGAAAGGAAGATACACGACGTGCCCCTTCAGTATTGGCTCTGCCGCTGAGGATAATCCCTGGTGATTGAGTCTCGGCCGATCCTGATCGAGAGGCAAGTTCACGACTAACACGTCTCGCCTCTCGTAATACCTCTCTGCTTCTCCTGAATCGGTCACGCTCTAGCCATATACATGAAGATTAGCTTGATATAACCGACATAAGGGTATTATCCCTATTGCGGAGATCCAAACAGACCCCTGCGTATCCGATCACTGATGCCACCATTACCCGGGCCTGCATTTGCGTTATCAGAAGAGCTGCCCTGATCGTTGGACGGTGGGGGTGGAGATCCTGCGGGAACGACGTAGGGATCATTGAACGTTCCCGACCCGGAAGGAGTGAAGGAGCCGGGCATCTGGGACGTACGATCCGTCTGTGAGTCTGCAGACGCAGGGTTGTTCGTCTGGCCCTCGCCACCCTTGGTAATACCGTTTCGACAATGAGGACAGGTGTCGTGCTCGAGCAGCCATGCGGATACACATGGGTGGTGGAACCAATGCTTGCATGGCAGTAGCGTGACCTGTTCGCCGATGTTGACATCATCCATGCATATACTGCATTCAGCCTTGTGTTCTTCGCCTAGCATCTCTTCGGTCACATTAGTACGAGGAAGGGCGTCGATATCGGCTTGCGTCGCAGGTCCAGGCGCGTTGCTGGTAGAAGTTTGTTCCATGAGTTGAGAAACAATGCGGTCTAGGCCCTCTTGAGAGTAGACAAAATCTCCCATGTTACTAGCAGGGCCCATCATACCCATTGAGGAGAACAGTTGTAGGATAGGGTGTCCCGCGAACTGTTCGCCAGCGCCATGAGTGTGTTCGCCACGGAAAGTACCCTCGGCGCCGCCCAAGGGATGGTTGTGGGCTTGGACGCGAGGAGGTGGTGCACCAAAGGTAGCCAGGAGACCAGTCAGGACACTGCATACTGTCAGCGGCTACAGACCAGGGTGGTTCGCTCTTACTTACTTGGTGATCTCGTCCACAGGCTCAGCCCGTCCGGGGTTGTTTCCTCCTCCAGGGAACAGACGAGCGCCACCGTGATATGTAAAGGTCCCTCCACGGATTTGAGGTCCACCAGCTGGACCCTGATTTTGAGCTTCCTGGAAAGCAGACTGGTTCGGGTTGGACCCTGGTGCGGCGCCAGAGAACAGACCCTCGCCCTGACCCTGCGCTTGACCCTGCGGTGGTCGTAATCCAGCTCCGGTGAGCCCGTTCAGCATGGCCATAAATCCACCTATGGACCCTGGCACCGGCATGCCGCCCTGTGGTGATACAGAGCGGGTGACGGTAGCCTGCAAGTTGTATCTTCCCGGTCCCGTCTCTGTCCATCTAACATTGCTAATATCCCCTTCCTCTGGGTCATCAGTCTGCCATGGGTTGTGATGCGGATTCAGGTGAGGTGGGGCGTTTTCGAGGTCAGGCACAGAGTCAGATTCGTCGCCGTCGTGACCAAACATTCCGGTGCCGGCCCTTGGGTCATTGTTATCTTCAATCTGATCAGTGTTAGCGGAAATTGGTGCATACTCGCTTCATCTCGTGTCGAGCGAGCTGAAAGCTGATTTCCGCGGCTGAACTCACAATTTCCGTGAAATCTGAGCCGCATTCTGGACACGACAGACCGTGTTCGTCCCGATACCATTCGTCGGCGCACTCGTGGCAAAACATCATGTCGCGATGCCCGGGTCGTTGGTTCTGTGACGGCGCATTCTGATTGCTGGACTGGTCCATGGTCGCGAGCCTGAGACGGATATGATGAGACGTAGGGTAGTAGGATAAGATGGATTGAGGCTGAGAGGGATAAGTAAGCCGGAAGTGACGTTTGAGCAACGGGTATAAACTCACGGCCTTGTGTCGGAAGTAGGCGCGGAAGAGGACCAACTCAATCACTTATCATGCGCTATTGCCAGTCCAAGCAGTGACGTGGTGGCGAGCAGCAGCAGCAGACAGGTACTGGGCGAAGTAGCGGAATGCGGAGACACCTGAAGGGGAGTAGTTTGGCGTAGCAGAAGCTCTAAAGCAAGGCCTGCTGTAAAGTAATCGACGTTTGGCGCGAAAGTTGTCAGGCCGGAATGACGTTATTCGATGAGCAGGGGTAGTGGGGGTCTAGCAATTCGTCCCGCAGTATCTTGAGATGGAGGGAGCTAATTCAGCACCTTGCCTTTTGGGGTCAATAATTTATGGGAATGAAAGTGGAAGAGAGACGGAGGCAAAGTCCCCTGTATGTCTTGTTGAACGAAGTAGTAGTTGATTGTCTTGCTCTGACTCTACGTTTGTTCGACTTGTTGTCTCTTCCCGCTTCTTCCATGTTCCATCTAGTTCTGAAGCCTTCGATCAGCCAAAGATCACCCAACATAGAGTATACAGCATGCGGTGCGAGTCTGGCGCGATCGCTTGCATAGTAGGAGAGCTTTGTATATACAGATATCAATAATTGCCATAAATTATAGCATCCCAGGCAAAGGTATAGAAAACCGCCAAACGCCTATGCATGTACTCATCAACATGATTGCGGACCTGGCCTGACACATGATCCAAACGACATTGCGCGTGTCATGGACTTGCGAGGACGGTGCCCGTTCAGTTCCTTCGAGGGCCACCCCTCAGCAAGAGGCTTCCCACCACCCCCGCAGCGACCACGATTCCTCCCACAATGGCGGCGCCCACTAGCCCCTCCTTTGCGACCTTTTCATCGATAAGTCCCTTCAAGCTTCCGGCCTGGAGGTTTGCGGGCTCCAACTCTAGCAGCAGCTCGTTGTACCGTCGGGCTTCAGCATAGTTGCCGAGCTTGTAGTTGCCTAAGGCGAGGTAGTATAGGCATTCGCGCCGGCGCTCGCGCGAGTTGCGGAAGATCTCAGAGAGGAGGCGCACTCCCTCCTGTTGGTCGGGACGTGAGGAGGATTTGATCAGACCCTAGAATGCTATGAGCTTGCTTGTTGCGGGAGGTGCCGTGCGCATGTGAAGATATCACCAGACGCGGGGAAGCCGTACCCATGCGTAGTTGAACTTTGTCTGGAGCCCAACATATTCACCCTCTTTCTCGTACTGCGCGCGCAGAACCTGTAGTTCCTCTGGCTTCAGCGGCGACTCAACATCGGCGGCATCTAGAGGATATAAGCGTTCGTCGGCCCAAAAGTCGTTGTCCCACTCACATGGTAATGACGGCGGCATAGCGGCTGTTTTTGTTGCGCAAGACAATTGGGGAGCTGTGTCTTCTGAGGAGGCGAGGACTACAGGCTGGTATCGTGGGGATGGCTTTTAGTGCAAGTGGTAAGCGTCAAACTACCGGCTGTCTCGTGAAAGCTCCTGCTGCAGGCCGAGCAGGCGATCTTTTACCGTGACGTACGCCTCGTGGCTACGGGCGCTTACGCCACGCTACGCCTGCGCCTTCCGCCACTTGGTCGCGGTTGCCATGCACGCGACCCAGCACGGGCCATACAAACAAGAACATCAACACCATAGGGCAGTCGCGATACACATCTCCATATACTAGACCAGACGAATTCGCGCAAACATCTGATAATACTCCAAGCAATCGCACTAATTTACCGCATACCCCAAGACACACAGCAGTTCAATATGCTTCTCGACGAAGATCCGGCTGCGGTATGCACTCTTCCCACACGCCTACCAGCCAAACCCCCCTGACATTCTCCAGCTCATCGCGCAATGCACATCACACTTCAAAATTGCCAATGACAAGACGTCGCTTCATCGCATAAACGAATCTCTTAGCACACTTAGCGAATTCCGCACCCAACACCTACGTTCCATCCAATCCTCCCTCAGCGCGCTGAACCGAACACACCAAACACTCTCCGCAAACCACAACCACACCCTCAGCCAGCACAACCCAACAAACCATGCGGCAGAAATTCTGAGATTAGACACAGAGAAGTTCAAGATCGCGAAGCAGGCGAGTGACCTAGAGATTGAGGGTGAGAGGCTGCAGAGCGATCTGGCAAGATTAGGGGGTGTAGCCGGCGAGTTGGAGGAGGAGGGCGTAGAAGGCGGTGTCGAACCTAGAGCGGGTGAGGATGCGACAGTGTAAGTTGAATCTTCAATGGGTGGGGAGGCGCAAATACTGACGAAAATTCTAGATTGAAGCTCAAGCTCTACCGTACCCTCGGCATCGACGTCGAGGCCGACCCTACAACGGGCGAATACAACAAGGCTGTCATTCGCAATGCCACCAAGGGCGACGTACATGTCGTAAACATCGATCCCAAGTTCTCACGGCACTTCTATACAAACTACTTCTGGAGAACAATGTAAATCAGGAGCTGGGTTCGTGTATGGGCTGACGTCAGCATATGCCTTGGGGAACATAACGTTAAAGAGTAGGTTGGTATGCGCCTTCTGGGTTAGGTGCTTGGTTATGATTTGCTTTCTAAGATACCTCTGGGAATATGGCGTTCTTGGGTATATATTACATATGAAAGTCACGTCACATACTCTTGAAAGACTGGGATGATTGGAAGCAGAAACTAGCTGATCGAGTCATATTTACAGCTGTAGTCGAAAAGACCCCCGTGTCATCTGGATTTATGGATTTGAGTCAGCATTTCGGAGAGAATGCAATTCGTTTACAGCCGCGCAGTACGCATGCGCCTCGTCGCGTTAGCGCAGATGCTGCCCTGCGCCTCCTTTGTCAGCACCCTGACAGCCTGATCGACAGACCAGGCTGCGCGCAGTCTTTGGACTCTTCTGCCAACTACTTGATCATACAATTCTACTGTCTCGTCTAGTTTAGGCCTATTGTGGAATACAGCTGGAGGGAAGATCTCGTGATCTCAGGGAACGGACATATCATGGAGCAACCTCAGGATCATACAAACTCCGACGCAGAATTCGCATTTTCTAGTACAGAATCGGAGGCTTCTGATGAAGCTGCCAAAGAGGAGGCCATCTTGGCAACACTCCGACGCACATACGCTGACTACAAGAAAGCTTACCCCCAAGGTGACTTGTGCCAACGTTGTGCTTGCATAAACTGGGCGAATCTTCTCTCTAATCAAGACCTTCACGATCGCGATGTTTGGAATGAGTTGTTTTTGTTCTGCGTGCCAGAGACAAGTCAGGAGCCCTCTGCGTCATCCTGTCCGTTGTGTCGACTAATGAGCCCCGATCGAATGTTTGGAAAGGATCCCGATCGAACCCTTTTCGTGTACAACGCCTGCCGCCTCGTGAGATATCCCAGGGGTCCTGATAAGCACGGTTGGGAGCAGTATGCCCCATGTCTCGAACTACGGGATAGCTATGCTCCTCAAGAAGGTTCCCGGTGTGCTGATCGGAAATACATTCTACAAGACGCCTGTACTGGTACCCAATGTTACCTGCTTCGCAAACTTGACTCTGCATTTATCGACTACGAGATTCTTCGACAGTGGCTTAGGTACTGCAAGCGCCAACACACAGGTTGTAACCATATCTACGATTCTTTTATCTCTGGCCTCAAAGTCATTGACTGCACCACTGGAAACGTCATCAATGCACCTCAGAATACTGCTTTCCATTGCGTAGCCTTGTCTTACGTCTGGGGTGGTACAAAAAGCTCTGGAAAAGACCAAGACAAATTTCCTGCGACGATATGCGACGCCATCACCGTCACAGTACAGCTAGGATACAGATACCTATGGGTCGATCAGTACGTATGTAATTCTACTTTCCTTGAACTGTCTAGACATAGCTAACCACAGGCACAGTGTATTAACCAGCTTGCTGCGGGACACAAACAAGCTCAGATACAACTCATGGGCCGCATTTACGCCGAGGCAGAGCTAGTCATCATCGCTGCAGCCGGCAGCTCGTCCGACTATGGACTGCCTGGTGTCAGTACCAAAGCCCGAGTAGCACAGAGAAGAACCCTACTAGACGATGATGTTGAGATGATCGCAATGAACGAGCCGGATCGTGAACTACGCATGAGTACATGGGCGCAAAGAGGCTGGACTCACCAGGAAGGCTATCTTGCGACACGAAGACTCGTCTTCACAGACAACGAAGTTTTATATGTATGCAACCAAGGAGTATGGCAAGAATCTGTGCAGCGACCTGCCATGGAAAACGACGGCCATTATTTGTTTATGACGAACGAATGTTTTCCTAGAACAGCTCTCTCTCTGGCAAATAATTACACAGTGATCTTTGGTTTTCTCCTCAACTACTCCCAGAAAACGTTGTCCTACGATAGCGACATTCTCAACGCCTGCATGGGGGTACTGAATAAACTCGTGGGCCACCGCCACTTCTGGGGTATGGTAGTCCCGCAACTGAATTCTGGACGATATATTCCGCTTTGTCTGGAATGGCGCAGCCAGATTCCAGGCCAAAGAAGAGAAGGTTTTCCCTCTTGGCCCTGGGCGGCGACCACCGGTCCGAAAATGTTCCACTGGTGCGGACAAAAAGATCACCGTGAAGGCTACGTTGCGCACATACGCACAATTGATGGACGTTGGTTGCCCCCAGAAGAACAGACTGAGAGTCAATGTGATCCTCTACCCATGAATCTTGGCCCTACTCTACGTCTTGATGCTACGCTCTACACAGCTTTCTTGAGCATGGATACAAAGTACAGAAAGCCCGAGAAATACGAAAAAGAACGAAACAAAACACCAAAGGTCATTTTCCAGTCCACTGACGGGAATAGCGGTGAAATCGAAATCGTTTTCAATTTGGAGCTTGACGCCAAGGTCACAGAATCGGACTTGAAGAATGGTATCAGGGCAATACTAGTCTCGGGCAAGGAATTGCATATACTTGATCCCACTTTCATGATCCTTCAAGCTGTAGGAGATCATTACAAGAGAATCGGCATCACATCCACTGCGATTTGCCGGATCCTAGAAAAGAGAACAGGGACAATGAGGGAGAGATCTATCACTGAAATGTTGTCATACGAAGCTTGCAGAGGTAGTGAGGAGACCATCCATATTGAGTGAGGCTCTAACTCACTTGAAAATTTGTATCAACGTAGAAACCCGGATGGCTGGAGTGTAGCAACATAACATTATTCGGTCCTCGATGCATTACTTCATCATGATTAGTCGTTAGCCATCTCAACGCCATCAGTGAGCAACTCAAGCGCCGTCTATAACATGCGACTCCACTCCGGCCTTGCCTACAGTATCTTCCTTCAAGTATAGCTCACATTTAGATCCAACGTTGGATGGGAAAAGAGTAGTTTCTTAAGCCAAGCCTTACATGGGTAGCAGCATCAAAACTCCAGCAGCTTAGAACGGCCAATATTCACACACGTTATCGCGCAGTTCTGCCTATGTTGGGCTCATCCGCGCCCCACATAGTGTTATTTGGGTGAAGGATCTCACGACTTCCTAATTCGGACATTCAACCGAGTATTATGAACTGCTGTGCCTCAATATAAACACTTAGCTGCAGAACTCACTACCAGAATCCCGTTAGCTTTCATAAAGAAAGCATAGACCACTTCAACTTCCATGCAATGTTTGCTCAATAGGGAAGCCTGAGGCACGGTCGCCGCTTAAATCACTCGTGATACCTAGTGTTTGCCTAGCGTGATATGTATGGTTGCCTCGATTGAACCATTGTTAACAATTTGCGCCGCCGGATACCCCTTGAACTTCTCATTTCATTGCGGCCGTACAAGCGCGCTTCAAATCGAACTACGTCTTACGCCCGCTCAATGCTCACATTCTCAATATATTAACATCCGTATTACCCCCGAAGTAACACCACGCTCTTAACTACCTTCCTAAGTCTCAACCCCTTCTCTAATAACAAGCATTATCAGCCAAGAAGCACCTACAACATGCAATTCTTCCTTCCATTCCTCGCTCTTCTGAGCACCCTTGCCAGCGCTGCGCCAGTCGTATGTGAATTCCTCGTCCTATCAATTTTCCCTCCAGGAACTCTTCTAACGCTTCGCAGGTCGAATTGCAAAATAGACAAAGCGGCGCTGGTGGTATCATCTTCAAAGATCAAAACTTCAAGGGCGAATCTACTTTCATCCCTGGTAACTTGTATTGTACCGACGTAAACAACATCTTCGGCAACTTCGATGGCAAAGTGCGCAGCATCAAGTCGCTGCCGGGTTACCAGTGCCAGTGGTACATGTAAGTCTCTCTCCTGGAATCAGTTTGTTCCAAACTAACATCCAGTAGCGGCTACGGCTGTCCTGCCAACGGTGTCAAGCTCGACTTTGGCAGCAAGGACGCGTACGTGAGCAAGGGAGACCTGGGCCCAACCTTCGACAAGAAGATTCACAGCGTGTTCTGCACACCTAAGAAATAGTTCTTGTACGGTGTTCGAAAAATGTGCTTTTGAGTACTCCAGCGACCGTAAACGGCGCGTGGCGGCGTCAGGGCTTTGACATGGATTGCGACCCTGGCCTATCGACTCGCACCAGCCTCTTAGGCCAGTTGTGTCAGTTCTCTTACCCGATACAAGAGGTATGAAATTTTAATAGTAATTTTATAATTACCAATCTAAACCTTTTGAAGTAGTGAGAGGTCTCCCTATTCTGCAGTCGTGCAGCATAGGTAGGCGTCTAGACCTGGTGACCAACTATCGCCTCACACCGGACATGAAGAGTTGGGCGTAATGGCATGAACGCCCGTGGGGCTTGCATAGTTGTTGGTGTGAGAAGGGATGAGCATGCAGGAGAATGGGGACAAGACGGGTGGACGGGCGGGTGAGACCGCCGCTGTTGTTGGCACTAACCCTGAATGAAGCTACCCACCCGCCCCACTGCAACCCACACAGTCGTTCGCTCTCCGGCAAGTGCCATCTTCATTCATCACCACGCCGCACTGCAATTCCGAACACGTCTTTACTCGAGAAGACACGCTGCCTGCACTGTTGCGATACCCGGAAACCGAGGCCCCGCTTCTCCACTGTACTACCACTGCACCTCAAGTACGATTTGACAGTCTCAATCCACGTCAGCACGTCTAGTGTTTGGGAGGTTGCATACGAAAAAGCTATCACTCAGAAGAACATGCGAGGTGATGTGTCTCATGGATCGAACTCAGATTAGTAGCTCACCGTGTGATACACCATACTTTCGTCGGCGTTTGTGGCTGCGTACTCATCCAACAATGCCAGCTCATGTTTACTCAGCACTGCGCTGATCAAGCTTCCTCATCAATTGCAGTCAGACATCTGGCTCGCATACAGTTACCGAAACGCATTGCTGAGCTGCTCGACAGCATGATTATATCGGATGCTACACGCAACCTTGGTAGGCGGCCGGAATCAAGATCGAGAGCCACGAAGATGCATTGTCCCTTTCATATCAACTTATGTCTCTTTAATTCGATTCTCTCTCTCTGGCGTAGTGACAGTCTTAGAACAATCTGGTAAGTGCTCGTTCGGAGTAGACCTACATGTTTCGACTTGGACCTGTCATAGAACGCTGTTGCAACAGAATTATGGCTTCTTGCGCGGATGCAGACCTTTTACGCCCGATTCGTCTTCTTCCCAATCAATGCACGCAAGTTTCAGAAAATAAGAACCTGTTTCAGTCTGTCAGAAATGAGTCTTCGTTCGGAATACCACGAACCACTCTTCGACAAATCCAGAACACCAAGTTCAAGAACGAAGAACTAGAGGATCTGCGGGCTGTTACTGGAAACCAAGCGCCAGACGAGACCAGAAGTGTCTAAGATTGGTGTTATTGAGCGTATAAAATGCGGCACAGCAAGGTGTACCTCTAGTCGTGTCTCAAATCCTTCGGGCCTCATTATCGGCCTCGCTGACCGCGGCCGCCAGATTCATCCGTCTTATCTGGCCCTTGCCTTATCACATTTCTTGATTTGACTTGGAGTGCTATCTGGCCTATCATCTCAGGTAGCGATGGCGGAGGAATGGTTCATCAACCAGCAACCACAAGACAGTGCCCCAAGCCTGCATACAAACCCTATGATGTAGTCATTTCTCGTCGTACAGTACGGCAGGAGCCATACGGGACGGACGGGCGCCTGATCGCTTGCTGTGGAGACCATAAAGACACTGTCCACGTCCTCGGGACTACTGTGTCAGCTCTGTTCTCTCCAAACGTACCAACATATCCTATAGCCCTGACTTAGCTCGTGGGCTCTATATCACAGGCCATATCGCAGACATTCCACCATGAAGTCCTTCACAGCGCATTCTTGGCTCGAATTCTGGTTCTACGGGCTCTATCCTGCACTTATGGTAACACTGACATGCATCGGTGTCTTGGCCACATTGGCTTTGTGGCCCTTCCATATGAAATCCACACCACAGCTGTGTGAGAGATGCAAGTCAGTATATGATAATCCCCAAATGTGTCATATGCTAAGCAAGTTATAGGCAAAGAGAGAAGAGTGATGATACTGAACGAGTCTCTACAAGCGCGACTTTTACCACCTCAGATGCTCGCCTTCACCCACATCAGAAGGTCTTTGAAGCAGAGCCGAGTAGGTCTCAACACCCCGCTTTTCGGTACTCGTTCATACCGCCTTCGCCTTTTGGAGCCGGAACCCCGATTCGAGTGCCCTCATTCCGCACATCGTCCCCAAGCCAGCCCGATGGAACGCCTGTACGCGTTCGCTCGCTACGACATTTCCTACTTCCACCACCTCTCAGCCGCCATCGTGCAGATGGAGAGCAGGGTTCTGATGGCGCCCGGACGCCTGATAAAACGCCGAGTGTCAGTAGACGGCTAAGTGCTGTTGCGGAGGATATGGTAGATGCTATTATGGTTTAATTTGATCGGCAAAGGTGAAGCAACTATTGGGCGCTAAAGCACATATACAAGGTTACGTCATATCCAATTCGGTATCAATCTAGAACATTACAATCCACACTACGATGAGATGAACATTGTCAGAAGGCCTTGCATGTTTTAGAAGAGATCATTTAACTACTCGGAACCAAACATGGGTTAATAACACGCAATTGACAAGCCACTTTTCCGATGGTGAGCTATGGAGGTTTCCGACTTCGGCATGGATGTCCACTTCAGGATGGCAGATCCCCCGCCAAGGCCTACCGATGCTACCCGAAATCTCGCATCTGAGGATTCCATTTCTTGAAGCTTGAACTTCGTTAGTTCGACAACACGACCATATGGCTGCCCCAAGATTGCCATTCCTATGGCCTATGCTGTTTCAGCCGGCGAAATCGCCACGCGTGCGCGCTTCGATAGCAAAGGAGAATGCGTCACGCACGCGACGAGCACGTCGTCATCTCACGACTTCATCCCGCCGGCCAGAGCAGTCGATCCCGCAGCGGTACGGCAAGGCGTATGAACATACAGCTCCAGCATTAGAACAAGAGCCGCCGAAAGAACCTCAGCAAAAAGAGCTAGCGACCGCGGAGCAACCCCCACAAGACCCCGTTCACGAACAAGAAGAAGTAGAGGAAGATGCGCCAACAGCAACTACCAGTCCATCCACGCCCAGCAAGACCAGCGCGACTGAGGAGATTGAGCCGCCCAAGACTCCAGCGCCTGATCCTCCAAAGACGGGCGATCCGAAACCCCTCGATAGCGTCCTCCACATTCCCACCGCCGCGGAAGAAGAGTCTCACAAGGCACCGCACTTGAAGACGCCACCGTATGTCCACCACTTCGACACCTATGGTCTCGTCCGCAAACTCTCGCAGTCGTCATACACCCCCGAACAATCCATTACCATTATGAAAGCTGTGCGACAAACGCTATTGGATAACATGGCTTTGGCGCGCGAAGGTCTTGTTAGCAAGAGCAACGTGGAGAACGACACGTATCTTTTCCGCGCAGCATGCAGTGAATTGAAGACCGAAATTGGAAATGCGAGAAAAGGAGAGATGGAGAGGATGCGCACGGAGAGGGGACAACTGCAACACGAGGTTGATATTCTGGGACAGAGGTTGGGACAAGAGACAGGCGGGCTGAGAGACGAGCTTAAGGGACTTTTTGACGACAGGAAAATGGCCGTCAGGCAGGAACAGAGACACATGGAGACGAAGGTATGTCAATTCTTGCTCTGGCTTGCGCAATATACGTGTCCTGACATTCTGCTAGATCCAAGAACTCAACTACAAGATCACAGTTGCCCTCAACTCTGACGCGCGCTCCGAGGTCGAGGGTCTCCGATGGGTGCTTACTCGCCGCGCGGCCATTACAGTCGGTGTCAGTGCGTTTATGCTCTTCGTTGCGCTACGCTATACAAGTTACGTGCAACACCAGTTGCAGGAGGAGAAGAGGAGGAACCCACCGCCTCATCGACCCAGTCCGTTGGAGGATTTGGCGGATCATACGTCCACAGCGAGTAGACCGGTTGTGGATATTGCGAGCCCGACTCAGCAGGATGCGCTCGGTGGTGAGCTTTTGGCTACCGAGGGCGTGTCATTGGGTTGAGCACTAGCATATAAGAAGACATTTGGGTGCAAATGAACATGAGGCAGATGAGCCTGCATATATTCCATCTCTCAGCGAACCTGCGTGAACAAATCCCTACAACTTATGCTTTTTCTCTCCACTCGCAAGTCTCGCAAACTCCTTCTGTGGCACGCCCTTCAAAAACCTCTGCAGTCCACCCATGACCTCTTCCACACCCTGGCGATCCAACGCCTCTCTCATTGGTTTCTGAATCAACTCCTTGATCAGCACTAAACTCTCGCTGTTGAGATGATCGCCTAGTCTCTCCTCAACCTCCTTCCTGACCTCGCCCAGAAACTTCTCACTGTACTGTTCGCTCTTGACATCAACTCCAGCTTCAATGACTTTGTTCACGAATCCCGTAGCTACTAGCTCATCGCATGTAATACGTTTTGACATGATGAGCGCCTCGTTCGCTTTTGAAATGCCGAGGCGTCGGACGAAGCCTATGCTGGCATTTCCTTCTGCTACGAGACCGAGGGAGGAGAAGGGTGTGAGGAGGAAGGTGTGTGGCGCAGCGTAGATGAAATCCGAGAACGCGATCAACGCAGCGCTGAGACCGACAGCTGGGCCGTTTAGGGCTGTGATGAGGATCTTGGGATGCGTGTAGAATGCATGTGTTATGTGTAGGTTGTTGGACACAAAAGACTTTAGGTACTGGTGTCTTTCGTCGATGGCACTGTCGTCAGTTTTGGAGCCAAAGGTTACGTCTGCGCCGGCGCTGAAGAAACGTCCCTTGCCTGTTAGGATGGTGATATAGATGTCATCTCTAGCTGCGACTTCGTTCATGGCGCGTGCGAGCTGGTAGTATTCATCGGCACCCAGAGCATTTAGTTTCTTGGGTACATTGAGAGTTATTATGGCGGTTTTGCCGTGGTAGGTCGTTAGGATGGGTTGGTCAGACATGGTGGGTGAGTGTTTGCTGTACAAGTGGTTGTGGTGTTGAGGTCTGGAATGGATGAGACGGGATAGAGCTCAAGATATTGTGCACGTCTGTAGGAGTCTTGGGGAGATTCTTAGGTGAGATGTCATTGAGCCGAGGCTAGAATGCGGAGACGGAATGAGCATTGTGAGCGCAACCGAACGCGACAGAGTGAGGTAGGTAGATGAGGAGAATGTGCGCATTATCATGATACGTTTGGAAGCTTTGAGTCTATTGCTGTGAAGAGTTGGAAGCATCGCGCAAAGATTACACGCTCGGAGCGGAGAACGCATGTGAAGGACGCGGCTTCCCCAGCTTCGACGTGGGGAAACTGACGCGCTGGCTGAGGCTGGAGATTAGATCTATGTGAGCTAATCGCCGAACCATCACCGACCAGATCTGTGCATCTTCGACTCCATCATCACTCCACTTGTGCGCCAAAGTTTCGAGCAGCGCCGCAAGTCGCAAACTACCCCAACCACAAACCGCAAAGATGGGTGGCCCTAATCTAGAAGTATTCAAGGTACGTACAACCGCCAGAAAGCCTTGCGCAACATAATGGAAAGCGCCCACCACATAAGAGTCCCATGCGACTCATCATATTCCAACCAAAACCGAACCTGGACCCCTCTCGTGCGCGTAACTAACCAGACCTACCAGTTCGGAATGTACATCCTCTTCCCAATCAGCATCATGTACTACTTCGGCACAAATCTCGACGGCAAATTCACGGTCCCCGATTTCTGGCCCAAGCCAGGCCAGACGCACAAGATACCGTACGATAGGGATGAGATTGCAAAGGAGTTGGAGAGGTTGAAGCAGAGGAACCTGGAGAACAAGAGGAGGAGGGAGGAGCAGGAGAGGCTGAGGGAGCTGGGTACTGGGAGGGAGGAGTAGAGATGGGGACTGGGCCGACAAAAGGCACCCAATGACGAATAAACAAGACGAGAAGCGACTATGAGACAGGCATGAAGTAACAGCCTAAGATGTTATGAAGTCACTTGCATAAAAGGCGCTGAGCACGGGGATACATCTTGTCCGCACCGATATCAGCGGTATTGTACAACACTGTATATTACAAAAATGTACAACAGTCTGGAGGGCCAGAGTCGGAGATCATGCGTTGACCTTTCCTCTCAGTTCCTCCCAGACGTCATCTCCTATGCTACCTTTTGTCCAGTTCATATACACTCCTTGTACACCCTGCACTTCCTGCAGGTCGTCGAGGAAGCTGTTCAATTCTTTGGCAGCTCCCTCATCCTCCAGAGGTACCTTTGTATCCTCGTTGGGGTCGTAGATGATCTCACTCTCCTCGATCTCAAGATCTAGCTCCTTGGCCAGTTTCTCTGCCGTCTTGTTTGTCGATGCAGGTTCTGTGTATAGCACGACTCTCCCTTCGGCATCCTCGTCGACGTCCAGTACACCAGCGTCTAAAGCCGGCTCTAGTACCTCGTCGACCCCAACACCGTCTTTCTTCCGTAATATTATCCGACCTTTTTTCTCAAACATGAAGGCTACCGTTGATACACTGCCACCTGCCTCTTTTACAAGGAGGCGCAGATCGGCTAGGGTGCGCAGCTTGTTGTCTGTTTGGCATTCGACTATCGTGGCGATGGAGGGCGGTAGAATCGCTTCGAGTAGGACGTTCTCGAGAGCGGCACCTGATGCGGAGAGACCTTGTCCACGGGCTATTGCGGCTTCGATAGAGGCTTTTGGCACGGCGGACTTCTTTGCGGTGGAAATTGCAAGGGCGAGGCGGGGGTTCAGGTCGGGATTTGGGCCGGCGAGCTTGACGGCGTTGGTGATGTCGCGGGTCATGAGAGACCGCTGCTTGGATTTGCCAGCATCGTTTTTGGCTTTGTCATGTTTGATAGTCGCCCACTTGCTATGTTGTGTCAGAGGCGTGCCGTTAGATTGCGAGGACGACGTACGAGTGGCCTGATTGTAGATTTGGGGTAGTGCTCAAACATCGCACTTGTTCTTGTATGCGCCAATTCCTCGAGCGCGGGACATGTCGACAGGAGCAGGCTATCGCGCTGTCCTTGGAGATAGCAGATAAGACTGCACGGCGAACTGGGATAGACATGGAGATCGATATAGATTGCTATCTTCACGTGTAACAAAAGTTGGAGATGCACATCGTGCCTGCCAAGACGGGGGTCCGCAATCCCACCTGCATCCACCGGCATCTCCACACTCGACATCTGTCAAGACCAGGCCGCCCCACGATATGAGCAGCCGAATGCGATAGACTGCGACAACACGACCCAAGTCGCGCGATCTCCTCATCAGACATGGCCGCAGACGAGCCAGCCGCAGACAAGGGCCCCTCCAACCCTGAACTCGACATCAAGAAGCTCCACGCGCTCCCTTCGGAGCAGCAAGACCTGTACTTGCTGACCTTCAGTTCCGACCTCGCCCGCCATGTAGCTGCCTTAGATGGCGACGGTGCCTCGGCGCATCAGATCTACATCAAGAAGGAGATATTCCAGATCATCAACCTCGCATCCCCCGCCCCCACACGCGTAATCCGAAACAACCTGGGACGAGCCATTGCTGGTATATTCGAGAAGGGAGACCGGAAGTTACTCTTCGAGTCGATCAATGAGGCAGTCGGCATAATCAATGCGGCGGGAAAGAGCGACAAGGACGTCAGGACGAAGCACGCGGCTGTGCATTGCTTGGGCGCCATCTTCGAGGCGGCAGGAGACAGCGCTATAGGCCTATCACCACTCGCAGTCAAGTCGCTGCTGGGTCTCGTCAAGTTTTCGCAAAACTACACTGGACTGCGAGCGGCAGTGTTCAAGGCTGTAGGGAAGGTCTTCAAAGGGGTTAGCTCACACGCCGATGAGCTTATCGCAAGAGATGCTTGGAAGCAGGCACGCAATGCTGGTAGCGACAAGTCCTATCTCGTACAGACAGCTGTTTGCTACTGTCTCGAACAACTGCTCCGACACACACCTTTCTTCGACAACTCCAATGACTTCGACAAGCTGCAAAACGTGGCCTGGAAGGCCATCGACAGTCCTTCATCGTCTGTGAGACATGCTGTTGCTTCGTGCATCAGCGCGGCCTTGGTAAAGAACTATTCTGAAAACGCGCCAGTCGACCTTCCGATCCTTGGTATCACCCGTTCATCGACTGCGCAGAAGAAGAAAAAGAAGAAACCTGGCGACGATGATGGCGATGACATGGTTATGGAGCGCTCTGAATCTCCAGCGCCTAGAAAGTCGGCTACACAGCTCTCATTCACAATAGCAAGTCTGCTCAAACTGCTTTCAACACAATACTGCCGACCCCAGGCTGGTAACCGCGCAAGAGCTGGAATCGCTGTGTGCTACATCAAGACCATCAAGGGCCTAGGCGAGCAGATCATCGAGACTAAATACCCAGAGATTGCGCGAAGTTTATTCACCGATCTTCTCAGCAACAACGTCATCGTCCAGAACCGCTACCGCACACTTAGTACGAGGAAGTTTGTCGCCGTCATCTTGGAATCAGTCATCGGCCGCGAAATGCTTGGAGAATCTGGTCAGCTCAATGCTGCAAGGTTCTTGGTCAATGAGATTCTGAAGGACTACCCCCAAGCGCTCAAAGAACGTCCAGAGCCGACGAAACAGACCCTCATTGGGGCTCTGAGTACCCTATCCTCGCTGTTCAACAGTTTAGGATCGGCCACCAACGTTATTGCCGATTCCTGCCGCGATGCACTCCTTCAGGTTTTGCAGCATCCCAGTTATACAGTTCAGGTAACAGCCTCAGCCTGTCTTCGCTCGTTCGTACTTGCGTGTCCTCTTCAGTTACTTCCAGCGGTCACCATATGCATGAACAGCGTCAATCGAGAGCTTGGCCTCCTTGCTGGACCAAGACAATCACCTAGGAAGTGTGTCGGTTTGGCCAACGGCCTTTCTGCCGTACTCAGCACATCTACGTCTCAACCACTCCATGGATCTGTGGATGTCAACTCAAGAGTACTATCACAGGCCACTTCTCTGCTCAAGTCTGCAAGCAATTCAGATCTGAGAATTGGATCTACCCAAATACAAGTTGCTTGGATCTTGATTGGAGGTTTGATGACTCTCGGTCCCAACTTTGTCAAGATACATCTGTCACAGTTACTTCTCTTGTGGAAAAACGCACTCCCCAAACCGCTGAATAGAGATAACATGGTGCAAAGGAACTACCTAGAATTGTGTTTCCTGGCACATGTTCGGGAGTGTGCACTAGGTTCCATCTTGACATTTCTGGAGTTCAACAGCCGTATATTGACACTGGATGTTACCAAGAGATTAGCCGCGATGTTGCAGAACACAACCATGTTCTTGAACACTTTGCCGGCTAAAAAGACAACTGACGATATGTCTCAACGTCTTTCCCCCGCGCTTCAGCTCCACGACTTCGACCTGATGGTACGGAGGAGGGTACTCCAATGTTACACCAGACTTGTTGAACTGAGTCCGGCCAGCACCCACGAGGTCCTGCTCCAGACAAATCTGCTACCTTTCGCTATTGCGTCCTTTGCAGAGCCCGACAACTACACCACGAGCTCTTTCAGTACTGCAATTGCCAGTGCAGCAGGAACTTTTGAGAGCATTTGGGAGGTGGCGGATAACCATGGCTTTGGAGTCACTGGATTGGTGCGGGGATTCGACATCAAGCCTCTTCCTGGAGAGCAAGAAACTGGTACCCATCATCACTGGCTCACGAGGCATGGATCTGAGGCCATTATTGATCGCACACTTCTTTCGCCTATCTGCGGGGCTCGCGAACACGATTCGATATCCTTGTATATCAGGACATCGGACGAGAACCACGAGCTCCCTGACCCACCAGCTACGGAAGTTGTCAACGCAGCACTTCAGCTATTCGCCATATGTCTCCCATTACAAACAGCTAGGATTCAGGAAAGTATCCTAGAGCAGATGACATCCTTCTTATCGGCTAGTAGCCTGCAGCGTGATATTAACAGAAAGACGGCTATGATGGTCAATATTGCATATGCTGTGTTATCTGCTTTGAAAGTTGCAGTCAAGGAAACTCGCTCGGCTCCTGGCAGCCTCAAGGGACCCGCGGTCGAAAAGGTGATGCAAGATCTGTTGCACGTAAGTCGCGTATAAAGTTGTTTCTGTCTTTCTTATACTGACTTCATTAGCTCTTTGTCATCCTTCCTGACCCGTTCATACGGAACCTTGCCGGTGAAGCGTTGGGACGCTTGTGCAATAGCTCCGGAAATGCTCTTACGACCACAGAAGTCAACTACCTGGTCGATCAGATTGTTGCTAACCGTGAACCTAATGCTCGATCCGGTTATGCCGTCGCTCTTGGATGTATCCACTCTCAGCTCGGTGGCATGGCTGCTGGCTTCCACCTCAAGAACATTCTCGGAATACTGATGTCACTGGGCAACGATCCACATCCAGTCGTGCACTTCTGGGCCATCGACAGCCTATCAAGAGTAGCTGACTCCGCTGGACTCTCTTTCTCCAGTTATGTCACCAGTACACTTGGTATGCTGGCACAACTATATGCTGCAGATACACACAACGACGAGTCGGCGCCCCTCGCATCTTCGAATATAGAGATCGATATCCCCTCCCCCGCCGTCATTGCGCGATGCGTTGATAGCACTATCAACGTACTCGGACCGGACCTGCAGGATGTTGCAAAAGCACGAGACCTTATCATGACCCTCGTAAACTTGTTCCAGGGTGATGCGGACGAATTGGTTGTGATTGAGAGTTTGCGTTGCCAGGAACACATCTCGCTGTATGCGCCAGGTCACATGGAGTTCTCAGCTTACGTCAAACAACTGCAGCGGTCTGTCGAGAGCAGTTCTGCACAGATCAGAGACATGGCTATCGATGGATTGCACAACCTCATGCGACGCAACACGGAAGAAGTCATTCGCGCTGCTGACCCTGGCCTCGAAGACCAGCTGTGGCACGTGCTCGATCGTGATTCGGAGCACGAAGTGGTGCGCAACATCATCCGCAACTGGCTGCACCAAACAGGGTTATCAGACACTGCGACTTGGGTACAACGCTGTCACTCAGTGCTTACCAAAACGAAAAAGGTCGAGACGCAAGACAAGATCGAAGTAAAGCCAAAAGCAGGAGCGACGGATCTGCAGGACGAGGAAGTCGCTGGCTTCGCATCGGCATCTAACGCCCCCGGAGCTGAAGCTGGAGATGGCGCACAAGTCAGTCAGGAACTACTAAAATGGCAAGTCCGTACTTTCGGTATGGATTGCTTGAGCGAGCTTGTGGCAATGGTGAGCAAAGAGGCTACATTCCGAGAGGAATCGCCTTGCGTTATGGCATTACAGCAGAGGATCGCTGATGTCGTGCGTATCGCTTTCTCTGCATCTACAGCCGGTGTGGTGCAGCTGAGGATCCGCGGTCTGAAGATTATCGATCAAGTACTCAAGCTGTTTGGCAAAACACCTGACCCCGATTTCGCTGAAGTCACTCTGCTTGAGCAGTACCAGGCTCAAATTGGTTCAGCTCTCACGCCAGCCTTCGCAGCAGACTCATCGCCCGAACTCGCAGCTGAAGCTGTTAACGTTTGCGCTACGTTCATCGCTACCGGTATCGTAACCGATGTAGATAGAATGGGTCGTATCCTCAAGCTGCTTGTCTCAGCGCTTGAGAACTTCTCTAGCGAATCAGAAACTGCAGCTATCGGCGATCTCAAGGGTCTCAGTTCCAATGCACAAGTCATGGTTAAGATGGCGGTCTTCTCCGCCTGGGCTGAGCTACAGATTGCGAGCGCTGAGCAGAGCTATTTGGTGGATGTATTGAAGCCACATATTGCGAAACTAACTCCTCTCTGGCTGGCATCGCTACGAGAGTATGCCCGTCTGAGGTTCGAGCCTGACATCTCCTCTTCCATGGGCTCTGCCTCGCTGTCTGGAAGTCTCGACACGATCTATGCAGCGCTTAACCGCGAGACACTATTGAAGGTACACTCAGCCGTTGACGATGTCCAACACGTGCTAATATACTGCAGTTTTACCAAGATACCTGGCTAAACCTGGTAGACGCCATCGCCAGCCTTATCGACGAAGACAGCGAGTTTGTCTTCGACGCCTTAGATGGCAAAACCGAACTGTCCGAAACTGCGCCTAATGGAAAGTCTGGTCACATCAATTACCGCGACGAGCCCGTCGCCTTCTTCTTTGTGCTCTTTGGACTCGCCTTTGAAGCATTAGCGGGTCGTCCAGGTGACCTGCAGGCTTCCAAGGAGCAGATATTGGAGATTCTCCAGGCACTGAAGAAGATCCTACGACCGTCAGTATCCGGTCATGCAATCTACAGGGAAGTTATCTTCTCGGAAACTATGGATATGCTCGATCGCTTGGTGCTCACCGAGGGTTTGACAGTTCAGACGGTCATTGTTGAGATTACACGGAATTTGTGCCTTGGCCATCCATCTGCGCGGAGAGACCAGGGAGCTGCCGCTGCTGATGAGCATCTTTCTGAAGATATTGATCAGCTGTTCGAATTGACCAAGATTATGGTACTGGTACTGTCCGGACTAGTACCTGGGTTAGAAGATAGCAAAGCAAAAGCACGCCACGAGATGAATGAGGAGGCAGTCGCTCTGCTGACAACTGCCCTATCCGCGCTCGTGGACGCCGCGCAAGTTTTCCCGTCGATCATCAAAGCCGACCTCCACGCTTGCATCCTTCACATCTTTGCAACTATACTAAGCACCGGAGCATGTCAAACAACAGTCGTTCCGCAAGCACTCCCGATTTTCAAGCGCTTCATCACCAGCCTTGCGCCACATGCCGAAGGTACGGACGATACTAGCAAGCAACTTCGTGCAACATTAGCGCGCTTCCTTGCAATTTTGAGATACGCGCAACAACGCGAGTTTGATGCCGCCCTTGCATGCGAGAAGAATACGATTCTTGCGACTACAATCTTACTGAGCTCTGTAGCCTCTGCGTTTTCGCCCGACGACCCACTCGTCAAGCGCTTCATTGATGACCTGTTCGACTGTCTCGGCACCGTAACAACAAGCAAGGTAGCAGCAGGTTGCTGTCGCTCACTCCTCCTTTTACCCAAGAAGGGTGCTCTCGAGACAAGCATCGCAAAGCTTATACTTCCACCGACCCTTTCGTTCATCGCATCACCATCTGATGTTGAGGGCCTCGACGATTCACGTACAACTCTCGCACAGACTCTTGTCACATTCATCTCCACATTGCCCCAACCATCACAGCGACAGACTGCAACTAAGATTATAATACCTGCTTTGCTAGCACGAGCGCGGAAGGAGCCCAAGGCTAGCCAGGAAACTGCGGCGCGGTTGCTGGAAATCGCTAGTGCGGATCAACAAGCATTCAGGGGTGTGGTGACTGGATTAGACACCGAGCAGAGAAGTTTCATGGAAAGTGTATTGAAGAGTGGGCAAGGGCCGAGAAGGCAGGAGGCGAGTAGGGAGGATGATGGCATGCCGAAGATTGCGCTCAAGATGGACTTTGGCTCGTAATTCGGGGCTGACCTTGTACGACAACAACTTTACGGATGAACTGCATTTTTACGCGGTATTTTTTCTTCGATGACTGCTCAACTGTTCTGATCTGGAAGCTCAGCTTACGACATGTCAGCAAGGGATGTGCGCTGGACGCATGCATGCAGGGACTTGAACGAAGGACACAGGCCCACCATTGGCGCAGCCTGTATTGTATGTAACTGACTATTGGCTGTTGCTGACGGCTATCGACCTTTGTGCGCAGCTGCATCCACAGGGCTGGACACAAAGTCGAGGTTGAGCACATTAGAGCTAATTCCTGGTACCCGGGCGTTCTCGCTAGACGCAATTGAGCAAGTTGCAGACCAGACAGCATACGAGCTACACGGCGACGGTATACCTTAACCTCGCGAAAGTCGTCGGTGTTGGATCTTACCCGGCGTGTTCCCGCTGATAGGTGCTTTAGGGGTGGGAGGAAGCAGGTGCCATTGGCAGAACGTACCGACCCGACGGGAGAGGCTTACCACACGTACGCGTGGGGAGCTACAAGAATAAGAAAACGTGCTTTCTTCATCCCTCTGCCAAGCTGGTGACCCATTTTTCATGTGATTTGCATGTTACGACGTAGCCCGTGGAGAAGGTATGAGCAAGAAAACGCCACGCCTACGATGCACGTCTGATCCTGCCAGTCGGTGCCACTGCCTCTTCGAGTCTTACTCGCCACAAAATGGGACGAAAGGCTTGAAGGTCTCCTGAAATCCTTATCGGCTTACATTGGTCTCGATCTTGTCAAAAACGTTCTCAGTTCTTTATCTTTTGGTGCAGTCGCGGCTTTGAGGCTCTGCGTGTTGCTTCCGTTACAGGTCTTTTCGCTCTCTTCCCAGACTGAACCCTCTTTACCTTCACTCTCCAGTGAAAAGACATCCGCAAACTGTAGACCTATCGCCCAGGTTACGCGACGAGCCATGCTAAACGATCCCGAAGTCGAGCACAAGGTTGCTCTTAGCCAGGTACATGATGGCTCTCACGGAAGCCTCCAAGGCTCAGAAAAAGATGCAGACCATCTCGGCACCGCAGATGGAAATAACACTGTCGACGCCAACTACCAGGCTGGTGTACAAGCCGTCGAAGCCGTGACCCTCTCCTGGACAACCGCATCTTTGATCACGGCCTATATTCTCATCTGGCTTGTCTACTTTATCCAAGGCCTCGTAGCAGGAGTCAGCGGCGCCTTGATCCCCTATGTCACCTCCTCCTTCGCCTTCCACTCTCTCACGCCTACAACCGGTGTTCTAAGCTCTGTCATTGGAGGCGTAACGAATCTCAGTATAGCCAAGATACTGGATGTTTTCGGTCGTCCACAGGGATTCCTTCTTTGCGCTGTACTTGCCACTGCTGGACTTATCATGTCAGCTGCCTGTAACAACGTGGAAGCATACGCTGCGTCGCAGGTTTTCTACACCGTCGGTATCAACGGAGTTGGATACAGTCTGAGCGTGTTCATCGCGGATACAACTTCGTTGCGCCACCGCGGTCTCATTCAGTCCCTGTGCTGCTCATCTTATCTCATCACCGCATGGCTCGGCGGACCGATTTCGACGGCCTTCCTCAACGGAGCTGGTTGGCGTTGGGCGTTTGGAATGGAAGCTATCCTTATCCCAGCAGTTACGCTTCCTTTGTTTGGACTGTTCATGTACCATTATTTCAAGGCGAAGAAAGCTGGTCTTGTTCCGAAACATTCGAGCGGACGTACCTTCTTGGAATCGCTCAGATACTACGTACGCGAGTTCGACGCTGTTGGTCTATTTACCCTCTCTGTCGGTATCGCTTTCTTCCTCCTGCCATTCAACCTATACGCGCTGCAAGCAAAAGGATGGGATTCTCCTATGATCATCTGCTTCCTGGTTTTCGGCATCGTCCTCCTGATTCTCTTTGGAATCTGGGAGCGTTTCTTCGCAAAGATCTGCTTCATTCCCTGGAAACTCCTTCTAGATCGCACCGTCGCTGGAGCCTGTATCCTATCTTTTGCACTATTCTTCAGCTATATGTGCTGGAGTATGTACTTCACGTCTATCCTTCAGGTCGTCTTCAACATGAGTGTTACGCATGCCAGCTACATCATGTCGACATATACAGTTGGCGGTTACGTCTTCGCTGCCCTCATTGGCGCCTTCATGTCCTGGACTGGTCGCTTCAAGCCAGTCACCCTTTTCTGTTCGATTCCGCTAGTGGTCCTCGGGACTGCACTCCTCATCCACTTCCGCCAGCCTACCGACAACATCGGATACATTGTCATGTGCCAAATCTTTGTCGCATTCGGTGGCGGCGTAATGACTATTACGACCGAGATCGCAATTTTGGCCGCTGTGAAAGAACAGCAATACTTCGCTGTGGCCATCGCCCTAGTATCCATGTGCGGAAGCGTCGGTTCGGCCGTTGGGCTGACTGTCTCTTCGGCAATCTGGCAGGACGTGGTTCCCAAAAGGCTTATGTTATACCTCCCTGCTGAAGACCTCCCGAACCTCTTGATGATCTACGCGGATATCGTGACACAGTTGTCTTATCCTGTTGGATCACCTACTCGCTTGGCTGTTCAGAGGGCATACGGAGATGCACAGAGGTATCTGTTCATTGCGGGAACTGCAGCTTGGGTTATTGGTACGGCTGGAGTGCTCATGTGGCGAAACATTGACATTATCGCCATGAAGCAGACAAAGGGTCGTGTGTTCTAGATTGCAGTGGCTTTCATCGGAATCGCCATTAGCACGGCGTTCTTATCTCAACAGTGTATGAAACCTCCTGTTTCTTGTACCCAAATCATTCTGGGTCAAGAGCCTCTGTACCTAATTGACCTGCGCTTCCTCTACTTCATCAACGAGCTTGCAAGACTCTCTGCAACTTTCTGGCTACGGATTTGACAGCGGGGTGAATGTAAAGGCTGTTCTGTTACACTGAAGCTGTTTGGATAGATGTCTACCCAGTCTTCTGATGTTTTCTTAAATTGGCGAGGCGCCCGTATACTTGATATTATCGTGATCTCTTTCCGTCGTTCATCTACTGTGTCATGCTCGCTAAAGAAACCGCTAGACTGATGATGCACAAACTCCCAAAATTCCTGTTGCGTCCACTCATATGTACATGACGCAAGCCTCCCAAACTCCTTCTTAGCATGCTGTCGATGAGCATGCCTCATAGACGTGATGTCGCAGTCAATGCATGCCATAGTGTGAGTATGCATGCGATGGGTCAATGACAATCGAGTCGTCCAGATTTGTGAAAGCCAATAATTCAGAGTTGATATCGTAAGCGCCGGAGTCGTCGAATCTCAGGTCGAGACTTTGCTGTGTTTGTAGCGGCGTCATAAAGTTACTATAATTGTGTCAGTAGCACGAACTATGTGGAGTCAATCTTTGAGTACTTACGGGTCCCAGTTACCCCATAATTGTGCAATCATTTCATCGTCGAGATGTACTGGCCCCGAATCTCCGTTGCCGTTGTTATTGTCCTGTTGGGCTTGTCCTGTTATGCCAAGCTCGGCAAGACGCAGTGGTGTTTCCTCTGTCACCATCTTGGTGAAGCCAATCTGTTCCATGCCACGTGAAAGCTCGACAAGCTTCTCGATATGCGTGCTGTACCGTGGGGTTCTCGTATGCGCGTAGGCGAGTATAAAGATCATGATGAGTCGTAGGATGCACGTACTATCAAAGGCCGTCAGACTCGATAACGTACCATCACTCGCCATCTGCTCTAGTATCGCAGTGCTCTTCTGTGCTGCGTCAATGCACATCTTGCCCATGCGCTCGAACCAGATTTTCTTGCTCGAAGCTAGCGTCCCGTGCTTTATAACAAGGTATAGAAGAAATGGCCGTGTAAGCAATATCGTGGTACTCCAGTAATATAGGTGTAAAACTGCTACCGCGCGTCTGTGCGTTGGAGGTGAAGGTACGTCGTGCTTGAGATGCGGCGGCATCTGGCGATACCACTTTTGCAGCAGTAAAAGGGAGTTGGACACGGTTGAGAAGGATATAGAGTTTGCCGAGCGTTCCATGTAGACTGATTGTATAATCTCGCGCTTCAATCGACAGAGGGATACTGATGTTGCCATCCAGGATAGTGGCGTATGTAGTCCGGGATACAAGATCTTGTAATCGTCAGCATGCGCGCTTTGGTGCAAGTCGACTGTAAACCTACCTGCTCAGAAGGCATAGGCGTGGTGACCTTTGTGAAGCGTTCATCAACGACCGTAGGACTACCACCTCGCGATGATATATCCTGATCAAGCTGAAATAATGTCCACCAAATCCTGCGATCTTGTTCTCGCTCCATTGCGTTTCCAGACTCAGCCAACTGGTCGCGATGTAAACCCAAGGAGAACGCCATCTGAACGCTAGCACCCATGTAGAGGTAGGAACTGACTCTGGAGCAAAGGTTCTCCATGGCGATACTCTGAATGGTGATTAGCGAAAGTGCTTCTGGAACTATGGACAGGACTCACCATCATGGCCATCGCACGTATGCTATCAATATCGGCCTCGTCATAGACTGTGGGTATAAGTTGCTTTGCAAGTGTAATATAGTCCTCTGAAGTCTTCAGGTCCAACGCAGCTGGCCAGTCTGGTGGGGGAGAGTTGCCGTTGCTGCCTACGTAGTTGGCTGCACCAATCGCGAACATGGTATAAAGGCAGCACATCCAGGAGCTGGACGAGCGTGGTGCTGACTCCGAGTATGTGCTATCCACCCGTCGCAGCAGACCTTCGACAGGATACAGCCAGTACGTGCAATGGACATCCTCTAAAAATCGAGAAATATAGATATCACACAATTCCCGACCAGGTAGGTAGTAGCTCTCTTCTGCGCCGGAGTCTGTAGAAGGCGAGGCAACTGGTAGGTTCGGCGGATATGACCCTACTTTGGGCCCGGGAATAATAGAAGGGTCTTTTCTTTGCATGCCCAAGGTAGCGACAGCCGCGTTGAAGGGGATTTCACTATGAGCGCCGACGTAACGAAATTTCCCTCTTGAATCTTTTAGCATGCAGCCCAATGGCTCATGCAATTCGTTCACGTCTTGTTCTTCACCATCTTCAACGCTCTCTGCATCTTCAGGGGATGCCTGATCACTACTGAAGAGGCCTTCGGTATGCTGGACGGGCTCTGCATTAAAGGTACCGTCCTTGATCGCTTTAGCAATGGTTCTGAGGGACTGTAGGTTAAGCTCATGACCAGGGAAGAAGTGTTCGAGAATGCGCATCGAGCATTGGTATTCTTCTTCGGTAACATGGTAATACGGTCTTTTCCTTCTTGGGGTAGCAATAGTACACACAGCGCCTGTGCGCGCACAGTAACGACATGGTCCCGGGACTTAAGATTGTCAGCCTGTGTCATTGCCGGCACGATTCTACTACCGGTGGGAAAAGAGCCCTACCAGGATCAATACACTAGAGGGGATGGTTAGATTCTTGGCACTGATAGAGGTGGAACTGTCTTAGCTACCTTTGTCTTCCTACTGCGACACCGATCGCAACTGCTGTGGACTCGATGGGCGTTCGGTGCTCTGCTGGATGGGGGCGCCGAAGCTCGTGGCGGCGGGGCGGCGGAGTACTCGGCCATATTCATCCGACACCCACGATAGCCCGGCCGGGTAGGATGACACTAGCGGCGATGCGAGAGTCTCATTCGGCAAGCTTGCAGCAGTTCGTGGAGAAGTCATAAGAGCATCGTGCCTGTTGCAGTTGGAGACAAAGGAAAAGGGTTCCCATTTCTAGCGGGGGATCTGCTGGGGCGTCGTTGCGCACGCAAGGCCACCCTGCAGAACCTGCCGGTCGGCTAATCAAAATCTATAGCGAACACAGAATAGCGTTGGAGAGACGACAAATCATGTCGCAGCCGCTCGACTCATGTCGCAATATTTAAGAAATCTTAATCAAGACACTCTTTGTCTCCAGAAAGTTGTCCAGAGAATATAAAGGGTCGCCCTCACGTCCTGATCCTGATGATTTGTATCCACCGAAAGGCATGTCGACGCCAGTGACTATGTGTTGGAGCAACGTCAGTGAATGCGTCATGTATAGTTGAGCTGAATGGGTATTGCCTACCTGGCGAAGTACAATTGACGCCAACGGTACCAGCTTCTAAGCCTTTAGCAAAGCGCATTGCACGATCGATGTCCTTAGTGTACACCGATGCATACAGCCCATACCTGAACAGAATTAGTCAGCGTTTGTTTCAGCTAGGCCACGCTAAGGAGGGTGAGACAAACTCTGTCGCGTTAGCTTTGCTAAGTACTTCATCTTCGGACTTGAAGACGTTGATGTTGACGACTGGACCAAAGATCTCTTCCTTCATGATCTTTGCGTCTTCTGGTGTGTTCTTGAAGATAGTAGGCTCGATGTAGTAGCCCTCGCGACCCGATGGAGCGCCACCACCAGTGATGAGTTCACCGCCAGATTGCTTTCCCGATTCCAGATATGCCAATACTGTCTTGTGTTGCGCCTCGTCGGCTTGCGGGCCGTGGTTGACGCCTTTCTCCAGGGTGTCACCCATCTTGATCTCCTTCTCGAAGTTCTGCTTGAAGAGGTCGATATACTTGTCGGCAACTGTATCCTGGACGTATATGCGCGAATTGGCCATGCAAACCTGACCGCTGTTCCACTGAATGCTATGTGCTGTTTCTTTCACGGCTTTTTCCAGATCGGCATCTTCAAAGATGACCGCAGGTGACTTGCCTCCGAGCTCAAGGAATACCTGCTTGAGATTGGACTTTGCGGCAGCAGCTTGAATCAGTCGACCTGTACGGCTCGATCCTGTAAAAGACAAAGCTCGCACATCCATATGGTGACTCAGGATCGAACCGCTGACATTCCCGAAGCCAGTAATGATGTTTATCACACCTGGAGGGAAGCCAGCTTGTTGTACCAAAGTAGCAATTTTAGCAGACTGCTATTGTTAGTTTCCTACATGGACATATAAAGGGCCACCTACGGTCAATGGAGCCTTTTCAGAACTCTTCAAGACAACAGTGTTTCCGACAATAAGGGCTGGTGCTAATTTGTTTGCCAAAAACACTAATGGCACGTTCCACGGGATGATACTAGCTACAACACCATAAGGTTGGCGGAATGTCATGTTGACGAATCCCGGGGTCTGGATGCTCGTAGTGCCTGCTCTGAATCAGCACTCTGTTTCTTCATTGAATTCTAAGCATCCTACCTTGTACACTGTATCCCGCTTCTGCGTAGCGGTCCCATTTTGCAGCAGAGGCATAAGCATCGATAAACTCACCCACCGGGCGGCCCATCGAGCTTGCTTCCAAAGCAGCCAATTCATCATTGTTCTCTCGAATTAGACTTGCTAATTTCTTGAAATACGAGCCTCTCTTCTCCGGAGTCATTTCAGACCAAGCAGGAAAGGCAGCCTTTGCTGCTGCTACGGCATTGTCGGTGTCTTGCTCAGACGCCTCGTGTACTATAACCGTCAGGAATTAACTACTCTAAGTTGAGGCGCCCCACACCCACCTTTTGCTACAGGCTTCAAGGTGGCTGGATTGATAATGTCAAAAGTTTTTCCGTTCGATGATTCGACAAACTACGCTGAGGTTAGCTGGGGCTTTTCCAATCGACAGAAGAGAGCTGACTTCTCCATTGATAAAGAGACGCGTTTCGATCTTCTCTGGTAGACCCATTTTGGCGATACGAAAATCTTGAGCGATTAAATTCAATTGATACTCGGAAAGTGACTTGGGAGATATTTTAGTAGTGTAGGCTATCTTGAAATGGAAAATAGCGCAGTAAGTTTGGAGAAGAAGCGAGGCTGTGCTACGGTCTTGCTTCGATGACTTCGACGACCCCACCTCGGTGCCGGTCTTGCTCCACACGTTCGCTCAAAGCGTCCCGCCGGCAATATCATCCCGCGACTTCATGCATATCGCACCTATATCACCGCCGTGATAGGCGAGCCCCATTCGCGGAGCTCTGGCAAGAGGGGAACTTTGTTTGCGAACCCCACGAGATACCTTCATGTGCCGTGAGAAGCTTCGCGTTGGACTGCGAGTCTTAAGAAGGAATGAATAGCCGTATCCTCCAGGTTGTGACCATTCACCATTATTTGTTCAAGGCCGCGAAATCATGGGAAGCGAAATCGAGAAGTTGAAGGCGATAGTGGAGAAGCTACAGGCGGAAGTGACGCGTTTGAGTGGTACGTGATTAGTCAGCCATCGATTAGCCTCCGTGTGGCTAGCTAACGGAACGTTAGATCAGGAGGACATCCGCAAGCTCCAGTATACGTACGGTTACTATCTCGACAAGTGTCTATACAAAGAGGTAATTAGAACCACATCGTTTCTCTGAACAAAAGCTAAGTGTATCAGGTCGCCAATCTATACGCCGACCATCCTGACACATGCGTTGAGTTTCTTGGGGGCCGATACAATGGCAAAGAGGGCGTACAAAGACTGTACATCGGTCGATTCGCCAATTCCTTCGTAGCTGGGCGTAATGGCCCTGTTTATGGCTTCCTCCTTGATCATCCACAGATGCAAGGCATAGTCGATGTCAATCCCGAGGGCACACGTGCAAAAGGCCGCTTCCGCAGTATGATGTCGGCTGGTACCCACGATAGCATCAAGGACACACACCCTCGCGGCCTGGTACAATGGTGGGAGGGTGGAGTGTATGAGAACGAGTACATCAAAGAGAATGGCGTATGGAAGATCTTCAGGCTGAAGTACTTCCCGTTTTGGCACGCGACATTCGAAAAAGGTTGGGCACACACCAAGCCCAACTACGTGCCGTTCCTCTCGAAAACGTATCCAGAAGATCCGAATGGGCCAGATGTGTTGTGCGATCACCCGATGCTCTGGCCAGACACGCGCGTCGTGCCCTTCCATTACAAGCACCCTGTCACTGGTGAGCAAGTGGCCGACGACGATCTTAGAGCTCCACACTTTGGGAAAGACCCTTCAACGAGCACTCCTCCACTCGTGCTGAGCAAACCAAAATCGGAGATGAATGGCACGACTTAGGTGTAGTACTGCACACACCACTAACGGATATGTTCTATGGCAAGTAAATAGTAGCTCGATATCATCACAGCCTTTGCTAGCCGCATGTTACATCTTTTTGCAGCTCAAGTGAATAAGAGGTACCATAAAGAGTCGTGTTGCACCCCTCTTTTCACTCGTCTCTTTCTCATCGATTGGTAAAGTGGTGACTTCCCACCACGCTTACGCGTCTCCAACGTTGTTGTGTGTAGTATCCATTTAGACATTTCAGTCTCATGTGCTAACCATATTTTGCCACCAGTGCATGACATTACACGTGCCCGAACACGTACGATCAACATATGTTAAACCTAAGCTCTCTTCTTCGGACCAAACGTGCCGCTGTCGGTCCTGTGCGGTCTGATCAATCCGGGCTTAAGAACCCCTGTAGCCACCACCATCTACCCCGCAAGCTCACTTCCCCACATGCTTACTCGTGACTTCCGAGCACGGCAGTACATCTCGTACCAAACACTTGCATACCCTGCTCCAGAGGTCTACTCATAACAATGGGGTCGAGCTGCGATGCCAAACTTCGCCATCAGTTGAGAGCATACCATGGCGCACATATTCTCCCTCGCTACACCCACATCCCCAGCGTATCATAAAGGGAGCCGATCCGGTGATCAGGTCAAGTTCCCAGAAAGTGGCTTTTTCCAAGGCTTCAATAAGCCATCACGACTTGAAGCCGACATCTTCGAGCTTGAGACGACTGGTACAGTAGGTGTAGTATTTTGCTCGATATATAGAGCCTGAAGCTCAGTGCTTCCAGATTCCTAGAGACATAAACGGCACCTTCTTTCGCATACAACCTGACCATCGCTTTCCACCTCTGTTTGAAGAAGACATACACTTCAATGGTGATGGCTCAGTATCTGCATTCCGGTTCGAGAATGGTCACATCGACTTCAGACAGCGATTTGTACATACCGATCGCTTCAAAGCGGAAACAAAAGCGCGCAAGTCACTACTGGGACGGTACAGAAATCCTTACACAGATAACGAGATGGTGAAAGGCATCATCAGAACAGCGTCGAATACTAACATCATCTTCTGGCGTGGAGTGTTGCTAGCGACGAAGGAAGACGGGCCACCTTTTGCCATGGACCCGGTCACGCTTGAGACAATTGGTCGGTATGATTTCGATGGCCAAGTACAATCTCCGACGTTCACTGCGCATCCCAAGTTCGACCCGGATACTGGAGAGATGGTTTGCTATGGCTATGAAGCCGGAGGTAATGGGTACGATGCTAGTTGCGACATCGTGGTGTACACGATTGATAAAGACGGGGAAAAGACTGAAGAATGCTGGTACAAGGCACCATTTTGCGGAATGATACATGATTGCGCCATCACGAAGAATTACCTGATCCTACCGCTCACTCCAATCAAAGTCAACGCGGAGAGGCTCAAGAAAGGTGGCAATCACTTTGCTTGGGATCCCGATGAAGATCAGTGGTATGGCATTGTGCCTCGCCGCAATGGGAAGCCAGAGGATATCGTCTGGCTACGTGCTGACAATGGTATGAGACCTACACACAGTGATATCGCATGGGATATATGCTAATGCTACCAGGCTTTCATGGCCACGTTGCCGGCTCCTACGAAGACTCTTCGGGAAATATCGTCGTTGACCTTACTATAGCCTCTGACAATGTCTTCTACTTCTTCCCACCAGACAGCCAAGCAGACACGCCCATGACACTACTTCAGCGTAATAAGCTCGTCTCCGATACTTACCGCTGGGTCTTTGATCCCAAGACTCCTACCAACACGCGGGTGCAGCCACACAAACTCTTCGGTACCAACGGCGAGTTTTCGCGCATCGACGATCGAGTGTTGACGAAGAAGTACAACCACTTCTGGCAATGCAACATAGACCCAAGTAAGCCGTACGACTTCCAGAAGTGTGGCCCGCCAGCTGGTGGGCTTTTCAATGTGTTGGGTCATTATGAGTGGGAGAGCGGAAAGAAAGACACTTTCTGGGCAGGCCCAACATGCACGTTCCAAGAACCCGTATTCGTACCCAAAGCCTCATCTTCTCCGGCGGATCTCGTTGAAGGCGAGGGATATATCATGGCGCTGCTCAACCATCTTGATATTTTGCGCAACGATATCCTTATCTTTGATGCACAGAACCTCTCACAGGGTCCGCTAGCGGTTATACATCTGCCGGTGAAGTTGCGCTTGGGCTTACATGGTAACTTCGTCGAGCAGAAAGACATTGACGAATGGGCTGAGAAGAGGAAGGAAGGTGGTGAGGTTGGACCGGCGGTACCGGCGAAGGAGATGTTGCCGTGGCAGAAGAAAATGGCAGAGGAGGAAGGCCTGGGAAGCGCAGTGTCAGTACCTGGGAAGGGGGTTGGGAACGGATTGAATGGTACGATTGGAATCAACGGTCACTGAGTTCGCATCGAGGACGAGCCATCGAGTAAATACCGTCGATGTAGTTTGATCTGTCCATCTGCTAAGCTCCTTATCAACTACGTCCTGGATGTTTTGGTTACCGAAGCGCAATTGATCGTACCTGTCATGACACTACCCCAGTGGGCAGTAAGTCCGATCCGCTTGCTAGGTGTGGGCTTTTTCAGTTTGTGAAATTCGATTAACGATCGAGTAAGCACTTTCATGCAGTTTCGCTCCGCTCAGCAAGAAACTCTTATGATGAAGAGGGGACTGGCTCTAAGCTTTCACAGCAGTACTGCAACTAACGGAGGCGCCTCTAGAGTGAAACAATGCACAGACGTGATACTCTCATTACCGCTCTCCTCTATGTGGGTCCATTTGAGTGACCTGGAGCGCCATGAATGCACCCACCTCCTTGCGTGGACCAGTTCAACCCTAGAACCACAGTCTTGTGAGCTCCACTTCCACTTCTCAACCCGAGGCTCGTCACAACTTCCAATCAGAAAATCCACTTGACCCTGATTTAAGATCAAGTACCAGCCACTGTTACGCTACAACTCAGTACCATAAACTGGCACTTTGGTTCCCCAGAGACGAAGAGCCACTCAAGAATTCCGCATTTCATACCAAACCCCAACATACTGGTACTCTTGGTCGAGTAACATGGCAAGTAGAAAAAGCCTTATTACTATTAAGTCAAAGCCTGCCGGTCAACCATCACCAACAGGCACTCTTAATACTATCCTGCCATCATCCTCCAGTATGAATCGTAAGGCATGGCGAAAAGCTCGCAAGTCCACTACGAAAACAGTAGGAGACATCGTAGTTTCTGATGCCGAAGATCAGACAGCTCACACCGAAGGACTATCCACCGAGCCACGATTAGCCGAAGACACAATCGAATACGAGTGCTGCATCTGCAGAGACGATTTCCCATTCTCAGGTGGTGTTGCTCATTGCGAAGAGCACTTCACATGCAACAGCTGCGTTGTCGATGCGTACAACGCTGCAATCGCCGACATAGACGCTTTTCCAGCTCAGTGCTGTAGTCCTTTCCCTCGCCCCATTGTCGAGCATCTTTTGAGTCCTAAGGTACGCGTGGCATATTCACTTAGAGCAGAAGAACACTACACGCCGCGCGCTATTCGCGTTTACTGTGTTAATGAGCAATGTCGCTCGTATATTCCGAAAAGCTGTGTGGAAGATGATCATCCTCTATTCACGGTGGCACGCTGCAGCTGTGGAACCAACACCTGCGTCGGTTGTAAAAATGAGTGGGAAGATGAGGAGCACCGGTGCACCGATTACGTGGACGATACGGTGAGACCAGAATGGCTACCGGAGTACTCAGCTAGCTGCCGCGCAAAAGCGTGTCCGAATTGCCGTATGTGGATGGAGCACAAGGAAGCTTGCAACCACATGACCTGTCACTACTGTCATCATGAGTTCTGCTTCGTTTGTCTTCAGCTTTGGACTAGCGAGGGCTTCCATCAGGACGCCGGTTGCCCTTCGTACGGAGACCCAGAGGAAGGGTACGACAACGAGGGTTACGAGCTGGGTGGTCGAGGCCTACACCGAGACACTGGTTATAACCGCATGGGGCTCAACCGATTTGGTCAGGGACAACTGAGCCACGCGGTTGTGGAAGAAAGTGCAGCTAGTGAACACGATCAGTATTCGAACAACGAGGACCTGGATTACGATGAGTACGAAGTAGACTATGGCGATGCAGAACAATGGGTAAACGACGAACAATTTGGAGATAACGAGCGAGCAGACGGAATTGCGCCTGAGGACGAGGTTGAGTGGGGAGAACCAGCACAGGGTGGTAGGCCATGGGACGAAGAATTGGATGCAGAACAAGACGAACAAGTTATCATTTTCGACAACTCCTGGCGATTGGAGCCTGTTCCTCTCACAGATGAAGCAAACCCAGTCGAAGCTACAATCGCGACTTCGTGGGATCTGGCACCAGCATCTCAGCGACACTCACAGACATCACCACCACCCGATTCTGTCCGTCAACAAATTCGTCTCGCCCGACGCGTCCCGATTCTTGCTCCGAATCCGCATCCCGAGAACAGCGTCTTCAGCGGAGGTACTCCAAGTTTTCAGCAGCTGGAATGTCGTCATTCGTGGCACCGGCACTTGCGATTATCACAGACAGAATATGGATATGCGCACTGCCTGGGTTGTAACTATATCGCGGGCAGCTGGACGAATTACTGCTCCACTTGCGGCGTGGTCGCCTGCGATTGGTGCACGTACGAGTTTCGGGAGCGTTTTGTGAGTACATGGGAGCGTGAGACGGGGTTGCTTGATGTATTGATTTGGGCTGAGCAGGGTGTGGTACCGTTCAAGACTTGGCGTCGTCATGTATCGGAACAACTGGAGGATGAGCTGTGGGCCGATTATGATGAGGACATATTGGGCCTGGCTACAATGTTGGAGGTTTACGAGACTCAACTATTTGAGCTGCAGCCGTACCTGTACTGGGACTTTGGAATCCGGCTTATGTTCGAAGAGCTGGAGCTGCAGATGCAGAAGGACTACTGCGCTGTTACTGAGGAGGATGTGGGAATACCAGGGCTTACGCTGACGTTTGACCTTGCAACGAACCTTTTTGCACCCTTACACTGGGACAGCTAGATCTAGATTTGAGCTTCACGTAGAAATGATCAGGAATACGACTTCGACTTCGACCTCGATCCGGCTCCCTTGGTAGCATTTGAGGACAATGTATAATACTCGAGGCAAGCAGGCGCACGCAGGCTGGTTGCCATGCTGTGAACAGCACTGTGACTTATTCTGGTAGCTTACCAAGAAGATGGAGGAGTATACAGCTAAATAGTCGAATGCTGAGTTATTTGCTATCGGTAAGTCGCGCTATACACTACCTTCGTCGTGTAGGGGTTGATGATGTCATAGCGTGATGTTTTCGCGTGTCAGGATACCCATCTTCCCGACTTCGTTCCATCCGTCATCAACGATAGACGTCAATACTACAGCCCCGATTCCTTGGCCATACGACCTGGCTTGTTTCTCTCGCTTTCCGTTACCCTATTTCTGTTTCCTTCTTATTTGTTCATGTATGCTCACAGTCTTTATGTCCAGCTTTGTGCCCATCTGCTCAATCCGTCCTTCAATGCGACGAACGATGCCTCTGCCTCCTATAGGTAAGATTTCATACGCGTCTTGTTTTGTTTGACTCCAGGTGCTGTCTAAAAAAACTCCAATCGTTTTCTTTTATATTACAATGTACCTGCGAATATATGTTTGCGCTACTCTCTTCTTCAGCGCACTGCATATAGCAAATTACATGATTTCTGGGGAAATTTTACTTCCCATCGCCCCTTCCTAGGGTAAGCGGACGGCCACAGATTAGCGCCTGTGTGATGGCTGCTTCCCAGGTCAGATGGGAGAACCCGCATTTGTGGGGAGTCTGAAGGTTGCACGCGACCACCAACCTTAAATCGACGCCCTGAATGCAGCTGTTTTGGCGCTCGAGAAGGGCGTTCGTGTCGTGGGACGCTTCATGTTTGTGTGGTACGTGTGTGCATGTGGGGCGACGTTGCCGTTCGCCACTGTGAGGTATACCTCTCCACGCGTGAAATTGTGCAAATCCATCTTCTGGGTGACAATTGTACAGTTTGCTAGGGGCAATGTAAGATCCTAGAGATTCAGCGCACGTGGTGGAGATGACTAACACATTGGAAGTTGAGAAGGAACTGGAGGGCTGAGTGGCGACTTTGGAAACTATGATTACACGAGGCTGGTAGAGTCTGCAGCATGTGATGAATATACAGGGGCCTTTCTTTGGTTGGCTTATGTGAAAGTGGACTAAACTTACCACTATCACCACAGGGTTCGCTGTTTCAGACCTACACTCATCAAACTTATTTGCCTTCAACGAATAACTCAGTAAGCAAGACCTAATGGATTGAACAAGACAGTATGATGATAGCCTACTTGGCTACAACTTATGAGAAAACGTGCAGACTTGAAGCGAGAAATGCCTTCTTATCCACGCAGTGTGTTTTCAATGTTGCTACCATGCGACGCATGATATCGGGTTGAGACGCTCTGTATCGAGCATACAGGATTATCTACGATACCACTGGAGAGGTATTGAGTGGATCTATGCATGAGTCCTGATCGATGATGCACCTTCTTCTCGATGCGAGGGCAGAGTCCTTGGTTGCCTCCGCGGATTCGAATTAAGTTTGTAGCAAACTGCTTACATGGACATGGAGAAGAAGCATCAACGTCAAGAACTGTTCAAGAAATGTGTAGAGCAGCTTGTAAAAGCCTCTTTCAGACTTGGTAGAGGTCGAATCATTCAGAGAAAATGCGTAAGAGTCGATCTTGTAAAGGGCTGTGTATTGCATGATGGAACCAGTCACGAAAAGGGTAAAGCGTAGTTGGCGATTAGCTCGAGAATGTGGGGGCAGCGTGTCACATGCCACACCTTTGTCTCTGTTTGAGCCATGTGAATACGTGTTGGAGGTGTCGGCTGAGCCTAGGTGGTCTAGAGGGGTGTCATCCGTACGATGCTCTCGCAGTGAGGCTGGCGGGCGAGAGTGGCGGTTGTGAGAAGAGGCATGCGCGGATAGGCGTAGGAAGCTGTTCGCAGAGAGTCATAACTGCATGCAGAGAGAGTCGCAGACCAAAGTGCAGGAGGGAGTAGAGAGGCCAGAAGTTGACGGGCTGGTGCATAGTCAGTCATGATAACGCTGGTGGTTGCTTGATGGGCGGGCTGGGAGTGGGGAAGCTGGCATGGCGCTTCGCGAAGCGGTGATTGGCGTGGACCCATGTCTGGCCACGCCAAGTTTCCGTTCGGCTCTAACCTGGCTTCCCTGTTCCCTTCTCCATCATAAGATAGCGCCGCCGCCCATGTGACCATCTCTCGTCCACGGTGCACTCATCGCCTCGTGATTCAAGTCGGTCGTTCAACTGTGCTGATAATCCTGCCTGAAGCAATTCCCAAGTCTGCGATTTTCAAGGTAAGAAGCTTTCTGTTCTTTTTCTCGTTCCCGAAAGTGTACATCCGCCCGTTCTACCACCGCTTGTCGAGGGTTGTCACGCCTTCGCCCGTCACCTGATATCGCGGACCCATTGGAACTTCGCAGTCGAGACTTGTACCATCGGTGAGTTAGCATCATGGTCGTTTTCGCGGAATGGTCGGAACGCTGCGCATAGGCCTGCGCATTCCCTCAGCGCCTCTCCACGCCATCAAGCCCGTCGAGACAATCGCATCGGGCGTCGTGGTTGCCTCGAGCCCGCACCTCGCTGGCAGTGGTGGTGTTGCTCGGCATCCCGCACTTGGTGGACGCGCGCATCCACCACGAAACGACGCACGACGCCATTGTGCTCTCCGGACGACCCACCCGCTCGCACGATACGACGGCCCTCCTTTGAGTAGTGACAGCTCCGTCTTACAACAACGGGCAGCTCGACGCGCCGCAATCGCCTGCCTGCTATGCCTCTTGTCGCACCACTTTAACCTACTCAGCTGCTCGCGCCCGTGCTAATGTTTGTCGAACCTAGGCCTCTGTATGCGCTCCCCAAGCGCATGATTGCTAGATCAAGTCCTCATCCGGATTGCGCGTGAACTGGTGGGCAAAGCGCCACTTGTTGTTCCCCCTCCCCGCCTCGGTGTTTGCGCCTACGACTCACGCTTCGAGCGCGTCCCATCTGCCTCTTTCACCAACCTCCAATACGTCACCCGCCCGATTCGCTCACCCGCGGCTGCATCCAGGTCGGCTACTACAGCGCGCTGGCTTACCATTGGTCCTGTCCATCTCAGACTTCACCTTCTGAGTAACCGCGCGCAGAAGCTTTGCATCGGCCCTAGCGTACCTACAGGCGATACTCTACACTTTCAGATACCCCGCCAGATACCATGGCTGATACTGCCGGCTACCCTACAGACGGCAAGCTGGATGCCCACAACGTGCATACCAACAACAAGCGGAAGCGCGACACGCGCGATCAGGGCCTGAACCGACCCGCTCCCCACACCGCCAACAACGACCTGACCGACCAAGCGACTGCCTCATTCCTTGCCGCGCACAACGCTGCCGACGACGACATGCAGCAGCAGTTTGACGTGCACCACAACGGTGGGACCAACACGGCAAGTGTTGGCGATACTGCTGCGGCCGCGCTTGCCTACCACCAGATGACGGTACCCCAAGCAACCGAGCTCCAGTTCCAAACGCAAAACTCGGGGGATGGCTCTTTCAGTATGGGAGACCACAACCAACAACAAACGGGCATGCAGGACTTTAGCCTCGAGGCCTTGAAGGCTGCCACACAGACGGGCCGTCCTGGTCAAACGGCACCCAGCGACTCGCCACCGCAAAGCGCCACCCACAAGCCTCAGGTCGGCACAGAAGAGTGGCACAAGGTACGGAGGGATAACCACAAAGAAGGTAGGCATCTATACACATTCTTGAAGCAGCAATCAACTTACAGACACGCAGTCGAACGCCGCCGCCGCGAGACTATCAACGAAGGCATCAACGAACTCGCCAAGATCGTTCCAGGCTGCGAAAAGAACAAGGGATCTATTCTGCAACGAGCAGTGCAGTTCATTACTCAACTCAAGGAGAACGAGCAACAAAATATCGAGAAATGGACGCTCGAGAAGCTACTCACCGAGCAAGCCATCACCGAGCTCAGCGCGAGTTGCGACAAGTTCAAAGCCGAATGCCAACGGGCATGGGACGAGTGCCAGATCTACAAGCGCGCATGCGAAAACAACGGCATCCTGCCCGACGAGATCAAAGAGCGTCAGGAGAACGGCGAACAGACGGGAGCGAATCCTATGTAGAGCACGGAAGAAACGTCATCTGACTAGTGGTTAGATTGGGTCCGACCCGACCCGTCTAGCCCTGCTCTCCATCGACCATGTCCTGTCGACACGATGTTGATGATATCTTGTTAGCTATGTTTGGGGACTATACATCTGTACTTCATTTCTCGACCTGTCGGTCTACTGTTCATCCCGCGCACTTTCAGTGTGGCTGATTATCTTATTTATTTGGCGTACAGTGGGGGGTATCACTCGCTCTTTTGGTACGGGCTTTTTGGTGTTGTCTGCATATGGTGGTGCAACTGGGATAAGATAGGCCTCCTTCGTACAAACAACGGAGGCTTCTCTTACGTATTCAGCGACACGTTTTACAGCAAGGAGGAGTTCTTCAATGACACAGCATTCTCGGTGACTTTCTCCAAATCATGGTATGATATGTGCTGGTCACTTGTACTGTCGACTTGGTAGTTGCACGACGACGTTTCTTCTGATGTGTTTCCACATGAATCGCGCTATCGGAACCCTGCTTATCCGTTAGCGGACGGCGCATCCCACCTGCCTCGCATGCACATAGCGATTCATTCTCTTGAACCGCGAAGACACGTTTCTTACCACACCCACGAATTTTCCGAAGCAGCAGTCATGATTAGCACGTGAACGGGCTCCCGGACATGGTGGGCGTAACACGTTTCCACCCGACCCCAACCCCACATTCGGATAATACGCGCGACCGACCATGGCCAACAACGAGGTGCCTGAGGAGCCGCTTGTGCCTCCTGTATTGGACGCAGCTGAGCTGATTGGCAATTCGAGCGCTGATTTTCCGGTCATC